TAACTACAGTTCCCAGGGATCCAACACCTTCTACTGGCCTCCTTAGGCACCATGCACACATGTAGGTAAAACACTCATCCACATAAAATAAAATAAAAATAATAATCCCAAAGAAACCCAAAATACATTGAAATTACTTTCTAGAAGATTAGCTCAGGTTACAAAAATTACAGATTACACTCTTACAAAGTTATTCTTGCCACCGCCGGGCGTTGGTGGTGCACGCCTTTAATCCCAGTACTCAGGAGGCAGAGGCAGGCGGATCTCTGTGAGTTCGAGACCAACCTGATCTACAAGAGCTAGTTCCAGGACAGCCTCCAAAGCCACAGAGAAACCCTGTCTCGAAAAACAAAAACAAAAACAAAACAAACAAACAAACAAACAAAGTTATTCTTACAAAACTATAAAGAGAGCTCAACTTTCCAACACTAAACACTCAATGAAAATTTAATTAAGGCTTATTTTTAAAGGAATTTTACTTTTGAGTTTTACATGAAGTTATTAAGAGCTTATAAAAATCTCTTTAGTTTGTCATGTCTAATCATGTACTTTTCAATTAAAAAAATACAAGCATGCCAGCCAATGTCTGTAATCCCAGGACTAGGAAGACTCAAGTAGGAGGATCGCCAATTTGAAGGATACCTGGGATCCAGAAGGAGATGCCATCTGAAAATAAGTAAGTAAATAAACAAGCAAAGAGACCATTGTATGTGCCTTGTCTGAAGAGGAGAACAAAACAATTTTATTAGTATCTTTAACAAACTTTCTCTTCTTTCAAGATAGGATCTCACAAAGTAGCCCGGGGCTGGTCTAATACTCACCCTGTGTCCCAAATTGACCTCAAATTGACAGCAATCCTTCTACCTCAGCCTCCAAAGTGCTCAGATCACAGGTGTGAGCCACCGTGCCTAGCAACACTCACTTCCTGGTGTCTACTAATCAGTATCAAAGAAGTACAGCAAACATGTATAATAACCCTATTCAGGAGGAAAATTCCCTGTAGCAGATTAGCAAAGAAGCTAAAGATGTACCATTTCTTAAAATTCATATACACAAAACCCAGTCCACAAAGCCACATTACTTACACAGAAAAACAGAGTATTTAGTTAAATTAAATGCAAAAAATGCACTTCAGGAGATTGAAAAGGAAAACCGACAATTTTATTTCTTCATATCTTTGCCACCAGAACATGCAAAATCTACCATTTGTGACAAATACATAAAGAATTACTATACAGGCACAGTATGGAACTACACACAAAAAGCCCTGAGCATAAATATTAAATGTAGAAAACTAAAAAAAAATGCAAAGTACTTTTAAACATAGTGTAATTTTATAACTCCTTTTTATTCTCCAACAATCACATTTCAATATACACTAATAGCTAACTAGAACTACACTAAAAGTGCATCGCTAATTAGGACTATCCCTTTTCTTTGCTATTTATTATCCCGAATACAAAATAGTACTCCTCTAAATAACAAACTGTACATTCTAATATAAACCTTGGGTTCCAAACTAATCTTTCAACATCAAAAACTGAAGTGTTGCATCTATCACAAAGAACTGGAAGCATAATAAAAATGCTGCCCACTGTTTACAGCATTCCCATAGGACTGTGGTGAGTATGTTAAGCATGCAGAATAGTAAACATTACTAAAGTGACCATGAAGTCTTTTCACCTCTAACCTTGTATTCCCAAAGAAAGAGATTTGAGCCTGATCCTAGGCCAAGCCCCCAATTTTACTTCATACAAATGATAAAAAAAAATGGTGCATTTAATTTCATTAAAATTCTTTTCACATTTGGACCTTAAAACAATGAAAAATCAACTTCAAGGCTGCCAAAACTTCTCATTTGTTAGCTACTGCCTCACCACCAAAAATCAAATCTGATGCCACATCTTCACCATCGACTTAAAATGGTAAGGGAATAGGAATACAAACCTGAAGCCAGGAAACCTCCCTTCTCTCCCGATCCTTGTAAAAACCAATGATTCCAAGTAATAACAGTTCAGAGATGTTTACTCCCAGACTAGGGGACAATTTTTTTTTGATAATTGGGAATAATCTTTACCAAACACAAAAATAAGAGTGTCCATTGCTTTGGATTCCCTTCAGAACTTTAGCAGATATTCAAAACTGCATCTAACAGAGGAACAAAATAAGCTTGACACAGAATGGTAACACCAAACTGCAGAAAGCAATGCACTTACCTTGGATTGGGGGAGCAAATATACTAATTAAAGGAGACCCAAGGTCTTAATTTTAATTGCACTTTTATTGCTGATAGCAATATTGAAAATGTTCTTCAAAGAAAATATTGAAATAGCTTCCACATCAACTTCTAAGTAGTTAGAGCAGCAGATTGTTGGGGAGGGTACATCATTTTCTATGTACACATTCAATTTCCTATTGGTTTAAAAAGAAGAACCCTCTCTACCCTGCCTGTCAGTCTCAGATACCTTATAATACTACAGTTACTTCACAGTGGGAAGGAATGGCTAATAAGTACATTTCTTTTCCAATCCACTTCTCTACCTAGTCATTAACACCAAACACTGAAACTGAATCCAGCCATGTCAATCTTCCTACCGGGAATGCTCCCTATGGCACCCCAATCCCTTCCACTGGCGCTTACTCCAACTGCCAAAGCCCCTCCTATTAATAGTAAATCCCTCTCATACTGACTCACTCCAACTCCAAGTTAATGAAACAGACACCAAAAAGAATGTTTTAAATCTACAAATGGAATTTCCTGTTTTCAAAACGAAGAATCAAAAAGAAAGTAATGAGAGCACACTGAGACTAGTTACATTTAAAGTCGGTCTAATTTACAAGAATTGACATTGTTTCCCCTATACTGCTTGTTTAAATCTTTTTTCAAAGTCGGTATGCTAGGCATTATGTAATTACCTACACACAAGCCTAAGTTTCGTGTAAATAACTTAGATATGTAAATATAAAGAAGTCAGCCCATCAAAATGCAGTGAGTTGGGAGATTTTTTTCTTCCAAATTCTTCCTCAACTACAGAAATTTGCCAGCATATACAAAAGTAGAGGAAGTTAACAATGAGCCCTTCCGAACCCACAGCCACTTGTCTTTTCCTTTCATCTCTGTCTCCCTACTTATCTTGAAAGAGGGACATGTACTCATAAGGACAGTGAGAATAACCCCAAGGCAAAAATATAAAACTTGCATGTTAAAAAGTCAAAAATTTTGCAATCTTACTATAAGAGCATCCTGCACAAGTCCTAAATAGTCAAATTTAAGAATTCAGTTAAAAAACATAGAAATAACCATCTCTAAGAATTTTAATCAAGCCCATCAGACTCAATGAGTACATTTTAAATTATATTTTAAGAGGATAAATAGAAATACGAGATGAAAATGAACTTAAAACATTTGCAATTAGCTGGAATTCACACAGCACTTGATCTCAAAACCGAAAAAAAAAAAACCCAGACTATTTAACATAATGTGTCATGAAATTACAATTCAACCACTTGAAAAACCGCTGAACACTTATGCCTTAACTGGTCCTTCTGATCCCTAATTATAGATTGATATCAATGTAGAAAGAAAAGCAGGCATTTTGACGTAAGTGGTTTAAAATGTTCAAAATGAACCCCACCGTTCATTGAGAAATATATGAAAGCAAGAGCAAACTACCTGAATTGAATCTCCGTCACCAGCAATGCATCCACTTTCCAGGGCCATCAAAAACAAACCATATGAAGTTCACATATACCCTTAAACGCAACGCACTGGGCTCCAGACAGAATTAGGAGAAAGAAACCTGCTTTTGCTCCTAACCAATACGCAGAGAGAGAAGGTTGGCAGGAAAGTGCTGCGAGGACAGTAACAAACACCAGCAAGCTCCCGAGCAGGCCCTGCTCGAGCCAGGAATGACGCACTTCGGTAACCCGACTCTTTCTCCCCTCCACCCCCCGCCCCCAGCAGCGGTGCTGACACCGCCAACAGCCCAGGGTAGGAAAAAAGACAACAGAAAAAAAAAAAAAAAAGCAAAGCTTGGACTGCACCGGGTTTCATTAAGAAACCTCGATTATTCCTCTTTCGACACTAAACACCAGGACTAAACAGGAAAAGAAGCTTCGTGCTTAAGCAAGTCCCATCATGGTGGTTTAAGTCACTAAATTAAGCTGATAATGAGTCCAATCCACAGAGACATATATACAGGGTGTGGCTGCTGTGAA